ATTAAGTGGAAACTATTACTACAATTCCCCATATATACATCAGAGAAAATATTCTGTGGGGAGCACAGATTCCTGTTCCCTAGTGATTTCAAACTGTCCTCTTTAGAGAGAAATGAGAAAATGACAGGATCCTCTGTTGAGTCCAAAAGAATCTAAGGCAAGTAACTTTCACTCTACAAAAAAGCAAATTGAGGACAAGAGGGGTGGTGTGGTTTATCTGAGTGCACAAATGTCTCACAACTGAGTCCTGGCGCCTTCTGCTGGCAAAGGCACTGGAGCAAATACAGCCCTCTCTCCACCTTGTCAAGCCTGAACCAATGTCCTGTCTTGACTCTTAGAGCAGGACAGAGGGACAGCTGCCTACAAGCCAAATAGGAACCTGGGGGATATGATGACCTGATGCTGATGCCACTAATATGAAGAAGAAAATGTTAGTGAACACTGAGTGAATATTAAGATCCAGCTTAATTCTAAATGACATAAACAGAAAGTTTACAAAATATACCAAAGCTCACACAGTCTGTATTATAATTCCTTCACTTTTACTTCAGGAATCACACAACCAAAAATGACTACTGACCTACAGATTCACGGATTTGGAATTTTTCCATTCACATGAACATAAAATTACTTTAAAGAAAAATTTAGAAACATCTAGGAGAATATATTCAGTTATCTAAGCCACTCTGAAAAAGTAGGGAACTCTTCAGAGATCTTAGTCTTGATAGAATTATAAATATGAATATAAATATATATATATATTATAGGATATGGCAAAAGAAAAACAGATTGATTGCCCTATCAATGAATTAGAAACTTTTTTTTAAAGGATTAAAAACAAAAATGTGTTCACCGGACAGCTGTGCTCACAAATCTGTGTTCACAGAATGACAATGATATTTGGAACTTCCAGTAACCGCCTTTAGTATAAGGTAGAACTTGAGAGTCTAGACACAAAGAAATAAATTCTGTGGGAATTTGGGGGAATTACTGACCTTGGGAGAATCACAGCAATTCCAAAGAAACAGAGGTTTGATTTAAAAGACATTAATGTATTTCTGCAGAAACAGCATACCTAGTGGTTAACCACCCACCAGTCATTCTGCCTGAATTTGAACCCCATCTCTACCACTTGAGAGCTGTGTGACCTCCAACAAGTTACTTTACCTCTCTTTGCATGTTTCTTCATCTGTAAAAATGGGAGGAAGTAATAGTTCCTACTTCATAACTAATACTTGTAAAGTGAGTAAACTAGGGTTTTGTATTCAATAAGTGCTATAAAAACTGATTTTTAAAAGTGTTCTATACATGATTACTGACTAAGGAACTGATAAGCTCAATGTTAAATATATGAAAAATACAAAAATGCAATGGAAAAATAAAAAATCAAGTGTGATATCATTGATGCTACCTACACGGTACACTGTTAACATGTAGAGAGGCATGTTGAAGGAATGTTAATTTTCTTAAGCCACCATAAATCATTATTCACGATCTTTTGAAAACCACTTTTTAAAATTAAATCATTTTGAATTTCTTGCTTAGGTGCCATCAGACAGCAGTGGAACCAAACAATTGAAATCCTACCGCCCTACTCTAAAATTTCTTAGAAAAGCTTCCGATAAAAGATTCTCAAAAGTAAATGGTACATTCTTTCACCATGCTTAGTGGCCATGGGAAAGTTGACTAAGATACACCAAAATTCAAGAATCACCTCGCAGTGTCTAGGGTTAACAGAATATTTAAATTCTTTTGCCCCCAAAGTACACAAGCAGAGTATAACTTCATACTTACTTTTGCATAGCCAATAAACAGAGTCTGTTTCTTTGCAAAGAACAAATTAACCTGATTTTTGTGGAAGTTAAATTGCCAACATCAGATTGAGTTAAAGTGAAAGAAAACAAAAATCAAAAATTTCAGCCCACATTGTATTTTTTTTAACAATATATACTAACTTCGACCTTAAATAGATTAAAATTAAGCCTGATGACTTTTCACTGGCTCCTCCCTCCCACCACCATCAATACAACACACTAGCTATATTTTCCAGCCCAGTTTCTTCACTTTCTCACGAGACTGTCTGTGGTCAGGACTGAATAAGTCACAGGAAAAATGCTTTTCATGGCAGGGAGATCGTACCCCTTCCAGGTCTAGCCTGGCTATGAAGTACGGACACACCCGGAAATTGTAAACTATTTTAACAGGACATTTTCCCACCTCAGCAGTGGGATAATCTTTGCAGCCTACCTATGTCCCAAGGGTGTTCTGAGTATTAACGAGTTAGCATTAGTCAGGCACTTTGATTTCCAAAGACAAAGGGCTCTGTATAAGTACAAAGTATGATTATCCAACCAACTGCATTTTGGAGAGTCACCAGGGATGACAGCAGAGGGGGAGGAAGGTTCCTGCGGCATCCCTGTCCTCTGGAGAGCACAGCCAACTCTGGGTTACATAGAGCAACAGTGGGGGGAGCCACAGTGTTTGAGCCTCTGCTGCATTGTTCCCTTATATAGTCAATAGAGAGGGAATCCCTCTGTATGCATATTTCCAATCCACATTCCAAAACCAGTATAGGCATTTCAGCTGTGATTTATAGGCCTTGGGATGACTGGGGCCAGGCACCATGCTAGGATTATGCCCATAGCTTTACAGACTGTATATAAACGAGGAAGCCCCTGTAGAAATTTATGCTTCAGTTATTAAAAGGTGTGCCCAGGTGTGCACATAGGTCAGCTCATCATGCCCATGTATAAAACGTCTACACTGTCATGCAAACCCCACCTGAGAATTTAAACGAAAAAATTAAATTTCAGTTTGTTTTTAAATCCATATTTAATGTCGAGCTGAACCTCTTCCTAGGTGCACGGAGGACTTGATTTGAGATAACAACTGCCCTAAAGATCATTATTTGTGTTACACAATATTAAAGATGGGCTGGAATGTTTGTGGAACATAGATTTACACATTGACTCTTTGCAGTACTGCACCTGTCTGTCTTTAAAGAAAAAGGCAAAAGTTGGCTCCTAACAAATTCTGCTGGACACTGGTCACAGACAGTTATATTTTCCTTTAACTGAACTGTTCATATTTAGATTTAAAGTCAGAGAAAGCTACTAATTTGTCCAGTGGTACCACTGGTTAGAACACACACACACACACACACCCCATAAAATCAAAGCTACTTGGGGCAGGCATAGCTAAGCAAAGCATCGAGAAAAACCGAACTACTGAACAACTAATCCTGGGAAATCCTGTACCATAAAACCATACACTGCAATAGATGAATTCTCAGTAAAAAAATCTGACAAATTCACAGAAAGTAAAAAGTCCCCTGAACCTCAAGGGTTAACTCACTCACTGTTTAAAAAAATGACACATATAATTTCCTTTTATCATAAAACAATGCATTTATTATTTTCTGTATATCTGTTAAAGGGCATGCTTTCTGAGTGGAAAACAAAACAGAACTTGGTCACATGTTTATTTGCTTCAGCTACTCCCTTCCCCTTCTGATAAATAATCAAACATGCCATCCAGAAAAAACAAAACCAGCGAGCTGGGAAATTTGATGGTCATCAAATAGACTGAGATACCAAGAAAAGCAGCCCACTGTTCCCACACTGAGTTTTCGGCCCCCACACCTACACTAACATCTGAGTAAATACCTTCAGTCACTCTTTCCATTTTCCCTGCAATTACTCCTACTGTTAAACAAATTGTCCTTAAGGCAGTCACAAACATAATTTTTTTTTTTTTTTTGCAAAGAACAACTTCTGAACGTTAAAAAAGCCAGCACAGCAATACACACACACACACACACACACACACACACACACACACACACACACACTCTCTCTCTCTCACTCTTAAATGTTTCTTCCATCAGAGGTTTAGACAACTACAGAGCCCTATTTTTTCCTCTATTCTAATAAATGCTGTTTTGGACACTAGAATTTAAGGATATTTAGTCTGGAGACTAACAAACAATGTTCACAGTAATAACAACTCCCTTAAGATCAAAAGAGCTAATTTTCCATTTCCTGTCTATTCCCTGACCCGTACACATAGTTTAAAAAAATTAGCACCTGGCTGACCAATTATACTGAAGTTGTGGGGGGGGGTCAGGATTGGGGGAGGGGTGTGGCGCGAGGGGAAGGAGGCCAGAGGGAGGACCACAGGACAACAGACAGGAAAAGGTGGAACCTTTTTAAAATATGTCAAACCATGTGTTTAAAGTCACTGCAGCAGAAAGGGCTTGAGAGAGCGATCACATGTCTCTTCCACACAGAGCAAAGCAGCAGCCCGGGTCCGAGAGCTTCCCTGCCATACTAATTATCCACAATGTGAATTCTGAAAAGAGCTTTCCAACATCAAAGTTAACAACCATCTCGGAGAGTGAGGCGGGCTTTCTCTTTCCCTTTGCAGCCCACCCCGTTTAAACAATAGTAATATGAATGAGATAATGACCGTGCTTGTTTCAGCAGTCTGACTTTTATTGGCATGAAATTGGTACAATATTATCAAGACCGATTCGCAAATGATGACGGTGTCATGATGCAAACATCAGAGGACACTTCAGCAGACGCAGAATCACAAAGCCACCAACCCCGCACTCTCTTGCTGTTTGTGATAACAGGAAGAAAAAGAAGGCAACACAAAACAATGTCACAAATAAGCAAAGAGAGGTTTTTATCTATGTTCCAGCCTATAATGCCGTCCTGACAACTCACGCCTGCTTACTTCGCTGCTAATATCCGAAGACACAATTGAAAGCAAGAGTGAATTAAAAAGGAGTTAGACTGCACGGGTCCTCTCAAATCTCTAAAAAAGAAAACCGCCTTTGATGGAGAGAGGAGGGAGGGGGGAGAAAAAAAAAACAAAACAGTAAACAAGTTGGATCATCTTATTTTGCCCTCCAGAAAATGTCTGCTCAGGAGTGGATCCCTAGTTGAAAAGTTTAACCCGGCAAAAGCATTGCTTTTTTTTCTCTGGACACTTACAGAGAAAATGAGGAGTTTGACGGAGTGAGCTCGCACTGTCTGCCTTTGGATTTCCGTCTTCTTGCTGTAGATGGGTTCTGGCTGTTTCTGTGAAGCGGGGGTTTGCCGAGTGGTAAAAAAGATGTTTGAATAAACAGGAAGTGCTGTGCGGCTGAAGCACACTGGAGGAGAGAACACACTGGAACACTGCCCTTTGTAGGCAACCTCAGGGACGCTTGCCTCCACAGTAGCTGGCTGAGCTCTCACTAAATGACAAAGAAACCACAAGAATTCCTCAAGTAATTCTTCACTTTCAAAGTTGAAAGATCAGTTGAAGCTTGCAGGTAATTTTCAAAGTTGCATTTAGCACTTAAAGAAATCTACGAATGCTACCCATTTCTAGATCACTCCAGCTCTGAAGCAGCGATACACCATCAGAAGTGTGCCCTGGCTAGACCAGACCAAACCGTAGCCAGACACCACTCACTCACGCAGACCAACACACAGCGGCGGGGTTTCCAGAAACCTGCTCTGGAGATATTTTTATGGAGACATTTACATAGGATGCTTTCTTTTTAAAAAGAAAGGCAGGGAAAGAAAAAAGAAAGGAAGGAAGAAAGGAAGGAAGGAGAGAAGGAAGGAAAATCGGATTCTGGGGACTTCAGAGGATTTTGTTACATATATTTTTAAAAGACCCTCTCATCCCACATTCCAGGGATATGCCCTTGATCTTGCTTTTGCTGCTTTTCTTTCCCTGCAGTCAACCAAACTACCTGTTTATCTCAAGATGCCTGGCTTGCCTACTTGAACACTCCTTAACCCGCCCCAAACTAATTATCAAAGTCCTGTCTTCCGTCACCGGAGGAACTTGACAGATATTGTAAAGAAAAGTAAACTGCAGAAGGCAGAGCAAGTCAGCTTGAAAAATAGGATGAAGAGCTGAACAGCCATGTTCAATAAAAAAACAGAAAAAGGGAGGGGAAAAGGAAGAAGAAAAGGATTCCTCCTGAAAATGTATTGCTGTTGTGGCAATGTTCTTCTGCCACGGAAGCAACTGATTTGTTATTTAGCGTGGAATGCTGGACTGTCTGTCATCCAGGTGCTAATACTCGGCTAAAATAACTCATTGGGAACTGTCAGTGGGATGTTTACATAGGCCCCAATCTTTTCTTCATAGAAGGAAATTTTTCACTGGAATTCATCTTCTTTTGATCTCACATTCAAAGCAACGGCAGCTTGATAGACATTCAAGTCTGAAAGCAAATCCAGACGCTGAAGATAAACCGCCAGAATATGACAGGCAGAAGCATCTAAAGCTTATAAAAATGAAGAGAACAGCATGTCGCCTGAGTATTACAATAGCAGAAATCAAGAGACATATTAGGTGGAACTGATCAGCCACAAAAACAGTTCAAAAGGCAGATCATAGAAACAGAGGACTAGGGTAGGGGGAAATGGGGGACGATCTGGTTTACTGCCTCTCCTCCTCTCTGGGCCCCGTGGTGTGTCTGCTCTGGCCTTTCGGCTTTCAGGAGGCGTGGAGTATCTGATTGAAATATTCTTCTCTAACTTGGCTGATACAGTGGTAAATACTGCAAATGATCTCCTAGCAATCCATCCTGAAAGGAGGGGGGAAAGGCAGGCTCTTACCTTGCTCAGCGTCCAGCATGCTGCATTTAATAGCCGCCCTGGCATCTGATCTGTAATGCAGCATAGAATTGTGCACAGCCTGGGCGCCATGCAAGTAGGCGGTCAGCAAATCCATCTCTCAACAGAAGAGCTCCAAGTAGTTGGAGATGGGACTGGAGAGCACTAAGCTGCCAGTTCCCTAAACTAGCTAGTTAGTGAATGGACTCAAATGATCCTGTCTCAATCAAACAAATATATATATATATATATATAGGAGTAGCCTGTCCTTCTGATATATTCTGTCCTTCTGATATGGAACTGCTCATACAGCAGATACAGAACTGACTTTTTTGTAGTTTTTAAATCAACTCGGGCAATTCCATAAAAGAATTACCGTAAGAACTTTCTTAGAAGCACACAATTATTTCTTTTAAAAATAAGTCTCTTATTTTAATTAAAGCCGGCGCAAATAATGAAAAAATGATTCTCCCAACAATTTTATACTTACAGCTGTTTGTTAACAAACACTAAATGTAAACAAGGCAGTATGAGGTTAAAGGTCAAGAGAATCCCACATTCTAATTTAGCCCGTGGTTGCTCCTAATTGCAAATGCCTGGTGGGACTGCAGAGCCAGGTCTTCTTTTGCCACACCCCAGGATTTTTGAAATTAGCCCCTCCCTCTCTTTTGCATAATAAGATCACAGTAAATTGTGAATTTTAAAATGTACTAGCCAATTTAGAAAGCTGTAATCAGTTTAGGGCTTGCTTCCTGCAAACAAGATTCCTGAGTAACTAAGTTACACTCCTAAAAAACAAAACAAAAACCCTACTGCATCCTTCGAATGTGTTTTAAGTCACCTTCTGTCATACCAATAGAGCTATCTGATGTGCTAAAGCTGCTTATTTATCTTTAAACTCTACTTCTTCAATGTGTTAAAATTGCCACTATTCCTCCCCAAGCTTAAAAACAGAAGTTGCTTTTAATACTTACTCCAAAAATCTTCCAACTAAATATTCCATATTGCTGTAATTGTTACATTTACCCAAAGCAGAGAGCCTTAGCATGTGAAAGAGAAATGCAAATTCCCTTACATGTTATCAAATGTTCTTCCTCTACAAAGAATGCTCTCACCACTGCTGAGAGGGAAGCAGCAGCAACCCTCCAGTTCTCAGGGTCATTAGAAGTCTTTTTTAAAAATCTGCCATCTATAAAGACCTTCATTAGTATAATTAAATGACTATTAGATTTTTTTGATATAAACAACTTTTGATATGTCATTTAAAAACCTCATAATGATATTATTTAAGAGCTACAATTTTTAAAAGAGAAATTGAAATGCTCAGGGCCATGCATAGTAGCCACGCTCTAGGCCGCCTCCTCTCTCTCTCCTTTTCAGACTTCTCCTGGACTTGAATGTCACCATAGACCTTGAATCCTTGAATGTGAAATGGCTTCACGCTAATTGCTCTAATTGCTTGAAGATGTGCAGGCAGGTGAAACCTGATCCCCGTGGCCATTGTAGAGACCAAGAACAACACTGGAATGTTTACACAGTGGTTTGATTTTAATAGACAGAAGGGCTGAGTTTAAGACAGCAAAAACACAGCTAATAGGTGACCCCTTAATGTAGTCCTCCTTTAAAAAAAAATAAAAAGAGAGAGAGACACACACACAACAAAATACAATTTCATGTTCTAAAAGGCAGTGTCCTAAATGCCAAGGTTATTTGCTTGACTCTTGGAGTGAGTACACGTTACGTTGCACCTGACATTTACACCCGAAACTCTACCCCGAATACATTTTTTTTTAACCTTAAAACAAAAAAGCACTTTATATGTCAGTCACCTTACAAACAGATTATGACTGTATGGTATTTCCAAGTAAGTGCACTCATTTAAATTTTAAATTGAATATTTTTCACTATCAAGATACTCTTCGTCCCTTAAAGGGGAAGCCTGTATCTTCCTACGTATTCCCTTGCTTCTTCTGCGCCCTTCTCCCTCCATTTATGGAATTTCTGACCCTTGTACATCACTTGATTGCAGTTAAAGTTGAGCCCAATCCCTCTCACATTGGGGCTTTGGACAAACGTGCATCCTTTCGGCGCCTCTTTCCTTTGTTACTTATGTGGGGCTGTGGTTGCTTCTCATCTACTGGGGTTCAGCCAGCCAGGGGAGTGGCTGACACAGTTATTCAATGACAGTGGCCATTCTCCCTGGGCATTTTAATGAATTGAGATGGATACAGAGGTTTGACAATGGCTCCCCAGAGCCCTTTCTTAACAGAGCACAAATGTAACCAAAGCTGTACAGGAAATATACAACAGCAAGACCAAGATAAAAATACAGCAGCACCTACAAGGTGTCACGAACAAAAGGAAACCCACAAAGGTTAGGGGAAGGCTTAGACAGGTGTTGAGATACAGATATGTGTACATGTACATATAGACATATGTGTATACTGCAAGGATCTGAATGTATAGGAATATTTCATATATAGTCAAGGAAGCACTACGAAATGGGGATAAAATGATTAAACATTACTATAGAAGGAAACAATACCACAAAACAATGAAAGTACTTTTAGGGTAAGCTGGGCAATTAAAAGCAATCGGCACAACCTGTAAAGGAGAACAGAGAAGCAGGTAACACTTCACACAGTTGGGACCATCAGTTGCTCTGCGCAACTATGCTGTATATTAACTTCTGATGATGAAATACAAAATGCAGAAGAAAAAGAGGGGAAAGTTCTTTTAAAGCTATGAAACATTTTGAGTTATATAAGCTAAGCAACAGATATAGGAGCTTCCATTGCCTGGACTGTTTGTCCCCAAACACAGAGAGAAAAAATAATGAAACAAAAATAACTACATAGAACATCCTTTGGAATTACAGCCTCCTTGCATTTATGGACACTCATACCTTGTTCTAAATGTTACCATCCCCTATTAAGAAGTAATGCCTCCCCTTCCTTAAAAGGAGGAGGGGACAAGTATCCATTTTCCATTTAAAGATTAAGTATAAACTAGTCCAAGCCAGTGAGAGGAACACTAAGGGGAAAAGTAAACAGGCCCCACCCCCACCCCTCAAATAGCTCCCATTTGAAAGCTCTATGCAGCGAGTGCCTGGTACCAAGGGCTGCCCTGTTCACTGGAGGGTCAGCAAAGCTATGCTAAACTGACAGGTTCAGTTTACAGCAGGCCAGAACTTTGTTTGGATATACTGGCCTTGCTCACCGCCAGCTTAACAACAGATGGCTAGAAAACTTTCATCATGCTGCACAGGACTGCACTGCAAACAATCCAGAAAACTGTGAAAAGTTTAACTCCCTCTGAACCGATGTGCCAAACCCCGGCCTGTCCAGGGCCGGGGCACAGCACAGGAACACCGGGACTCTGGAATTGATGGTTAACACAAAGAGCACTTGCTACCAGCCCCAGTCAACTCAGGGCACCTTGCATACTCCAGAGCAACAGCAACCTACCGATCTTGATTTTAACTGTTGAAAACTCAGACCTTATAAGGAGTTGCATCACTGTACCTTCTTTTTTATTTTCCCAAAAA